GGGGAAGAGTTTTAGAAAGTTTTTTAAGAAAAAGATGCTTTGCAGTCATTTAATAAAGTTTACAATTTTGGTGGATAAACAGCAAGATTTTGCTAGTAGAAAATCTTCCAACATTCTTTGTGGAGGTTACTGTTTATGTAGATGATATATTTGGTCTATCTGGATCTTCAGAAATAATATGATATTGATTTGGATATTCTCTGTAGATGTGGAGGATAGGTTGTCTCACTGGACAGAAAGCCGGCTGGCTGGAAGATGGCAAAGTTGTTAAAAATGGTGTTCAGCCAAACTGGATTAATGTTACAAGTGGGGCACCATTTTTGATTTACATCAATGCCATAGATGAAAGAATGGCCAATAAATTATTTAAATTTGCTGATGACATTAAGGTCTTAGATGCTGCCGCTGGGTGTGAGGAGAATGCTGTAGCTTGAAAACAGGATTTGTATTAATCGGTGAGATGGGCACGTAAATGATGAAAGGTTGTTAATTATATTAAATGCAAGGAAATGCATGTTGGGATATCATAACTTGAATAATGTATATAAGTTTCATGGGAATAACTTTAACAGTGTTGTAGAAGAAAAGAATCTTGGTGTTCTGGTTAACAGTCTCTTGGGTCATTCAAGCAATGTACTGTTCTAGTGGGAGGGCAATTATGATTTTAGGTTGTTAATTATATTAAATGCAAGGAAATGCATGTTGGGATATCATAACTTGAATAATGTATATAAGTTTCATGGGAATAACTTTAACAGTGTTATGGAAGAAAAGAATCTTGGTGTTATGGATAACAGTCTCTTGGGTCATTCAAGCAATGTGATGTTCTAGTGGGTAAGACAATTAGGATTTTAGGTTGTATCTACAGAAATATTGAATAAATGTTATAATTTCATTGTATAGGTCTTTGGTTAGGACACATTTGGAGTCTTGTGTAAAGTCATGGATGCCTTACCTTATAAAGGACATAGAATTGTTGGAAGGGGGTTCAGAGGAGGGCTACTAGGATAATATCTGGAATAAAAAAGTTGTCGTATCAGGACAGATTAAGATCTCTGAAATTTTTTCTCTTGAAAAAAAAAGTTAAAGAGGATATGATTGAGGTGTTTAAGATTGTTAAGCCTTAAGGGACCTTACAATGTTAATGTTGATTTTTCTCACAGGGTGGTCAGCCTTTGGAAAGGGTTGGCTTGAGATGTGGTGAATGTATTTAATTCAGGGAAATTTAAGAGAAGGCTTGATAAACATTTGAGTGATATGAGCTAGCTTTCAGCATTTTATTTTTATTTTAAAGTTTAGAACAGCTTAAATATGCCAACAGGTCCCTTGTTGTCATTAAAATGTGTGTTTGTGTTGACAAGGTATAACAAATAGACATACTATACAATCAGTATTACTACATGAGTACAAATAATTAATGAATAATAATTAAGTAAACGTATATCAAAACTATGCTAAATAAAGCCATCAATACTTAAAAGTAAACATCCATTAATTACTAACCAACCAATGTTTCGGTATCAGAGTTTGGGCGGGGGGGGGGGGATAATAAAAATTGTCGGAGTATCATTATTACCATCACTATCAGACAGTTACGCCTGGGTTATGGGCATTCACTTCACTCTGTGATTTACAGTAACTGTCCTCCATTCGGATTAACTTTGACAAATAACAACCGGATACAGATGCAAAAACCTGCATCTTAACTCTATAATAATTAATAGTACTAGTTAGTACTAGAATTTAAAAATAATAGTACAGTAGTAGAGTTATGTCGGTATACATAGGCCTATTTAGGTATTTGGAAACATCGTTCTCTTATAGTTTGTCTCACTCTAATTAAGCCTAACTCTACTTTGTCTTAAATTCAAAAACTTTAAATTTTAAAAGCTTAAACAAATTATAGCTCACATATTACCTTTGTAATGTTTCAGACAGGAAGTGCTAAATATCTTATTTTCGTCGCTATTTTCTAATAAAGTATTTGAAATATAACTTGAAACTCATACGTTAATACTAGTTACGATAATAAGGTATAGGTTATGCTAACATTGTCTGCAATACGTACCAAGAAAATTACTCTTTCATTTCATTGGTCAAGTATTGAAAGCAATATGCCCGGGAAATGTGAAAAAATGTTAATCTTAATCTTTATAAATTAATCAAGGCACTAAATATTAACAAAAGGTTATTCTCAAAACAAAAGCTGTTAAAAAAGTTAAAACTGGTATATTTTGTATTCTTAAATTCCCAATTTTTTATTTATCTTATTTGCTGGCCTTTTTTATGCTCAACTATGGGCAAAGGATTACTTGATATGGTAGTTAACTTTATACATTGTAATAATAATAAACATAGCTAGTAGCTAACTGATACAGTTCATGATGATTTATTGTAGCTGTTGATTATTTGATCGTATTAGTTCGAAATGTAAAATGTTAACCTGCAGTTGGAGATTGTTATTGAGATTTGTTTGAATATAGTGAGTATTTATAGTTTCTGTGTAACTAAGTCCTCTATATATAATGCATATCAATGAGCATTTGTATGTCCAGACTAAGACACAACCACCACTAAGGGCGAATAAAATTTTATCAGGAGAAAAGTAGCCTTTTCAAATAAAATATATAGCCGCTTTAAATAATTCTTGGTGTCTTTTAAAGTAATTGTTATACGAATGTGTGTAATGAAATTTAATATTATATGCATTGATTTTTTTCTTCACGTTCACTTCATACATAATATTGGGGTTGGCTCCCTAAAGACACCGATTGTATAGTGTACAAAGCATTGAGTATCTACATGCTATAGTCATCTATTATTGGCTGGTATTCCTGTTTCACCCTGTACTTAAGCTTTTTAAAAGAACACAAGGTATCTGTAATAAAGCTAACTTCCATGGGTAATGATAACATCGTTTACACAAGAATTATGATTGTTTTAGCTTATGTAAAATATAGAATAAATGAATCGAATTTTCAATACCCCTAGACATTTGCAGTACCTTACTTAGTATTCTACAAATGGTTTGTGTACAATATACCAAGGCGTTTTTGTTGTAGGCTGGCAAGAGAATAATGATAAGAAGAACAATTACAAACGGGCTGTTTTGAGCGGATTTTATTTTCCTTGTAAGTCTAACATGCATGCTTTTTGTGCATTTTTATATGTGTACAGCCTTAGCAGTCAATAGTAAAGGTTTAAAGTGTTGTTTGAACTGAATCTTTACTGTTTAAAGTGCTTTTTCCCAGAACGTTATATTAGGGTTTTGTGCAATTCCTTGCGATCCTTATTATGAACCACTACCGTAGTTCATGGTAAGAAGTACTGTTTGAGTATCAAAAACGTAAAACAAAGTAGTAAATTTGTTTTATTTTTTAGTCCTATTCATCTTGTACATGCTATTCTTGATTTTGTGATATGGTTTAATGCAGGGGTGAAATTCAGCTGGGTGAAGTGGAGCTGTTTTTTAAAAAGGAAAATAAATCTACATGTAAACATAAAAATCGACCAACAGCTCATAAAAGTCCCGGTACTAGTACCGCCTTAAAAATAAGTTCAGGCACTTAGTACCAGTGAGTACCGGCATAATTTCACTCCTGGTTTAATAAAACTTGTGGTCTTCGAAAAGATGTTTGCGCTAAAAAAACATAAAGCAAATAAACTGTAAACTAACATAACGCTATTTTTACTCGAACTACAAACTTTTTTTAAAGATAGAAAAAAAAAGTTAAATGTACGTTAGTACTGAGTAAAATTATTGTCTCATTATTCTACCCCTCAATGGCACAGCGCTATGTCTGCTGATTTCACCAAGCTAAAAAACAGGTTTCGATACCTGTGGTGGGCAGATCCTAGACAGACAACACAATTTAAATGATAGCTAGTTAGGGCCAACAAGTAGTCTTTGATCTTATTGAAAAAAAAAAAGATATAATACTGTTATGACAGCGGAGGTTACGTGACACTAGTAACACGCCACGCGCTTCTAGAACGTTCATGAAGCGTCGGGAGACTACTAGATATGGGGTAGTCTTGTATATATAAGACCGGCCAAGAAGCGACGGGAACAATGTGTAATTGAACTGCGGAGAGAGTATTGTCGAGTTGAGGACGTGAGATGTTCGTTATGAATTATAGAGTTTGTTATAGCGCGACTGTGGAAATTAAGCGTATTGCAAAGTTGTATTCAAAAAAGAATAAACCAGTTTTATTTAAGAAAGGACTTGTGTCGCTAAAATTTCGTCGGAACGAAATTTACAGAAAATTAACTAACGAACGGAGACGTAACAATACTAACGAAATGTTTAAAATTTTCCTAGTATGTTATTATAGGAATACACAATAGGATTTTTTCTGCAGTAGTAGAATTTATTATGAATATGTGCATGCTTTTACATGACACGAGGTCAAGAAAACTGTTAAGTTGATCTTGTTTTAAGTTACCTTTGTCACTTTGTTGTATTCAAAGTCGATAATACCTATTATCACCCGTGAATAACATTACTTACAGAGACCTTCTTTGAGGAAGTTGTTATCAGTGCCCTTCAAAGTTTTTATAGGCAATATTTAAAAGTTACAATCCCACCTGTTTGGATTGAAAATGACCAGTCACGTAGTAATGTAAATGCGAGATTTTTTTTAAAAGCTAGAAACTTTGCACTTAGTTAATCTGATGTGTAATCTGGTATTACAAACATCTCGAAGAATTAAGCAACTGTCCAAAGTAAAGCACGTGCACACACTATGTTTTTGCCTTAGTCTAAGTAAAGATCATTTTAATTGTGTCCAATCTATTGATTCGTTACTGAGACAGTAATAGTTTAGTATTGTTCTGTAATACTATATCTTAATCAACTTTTCTCCTGGGTGGACTTGCCCGATACAGCTCTAAAGTTAATTCAGCTCATTTAAATACACCACATTAATCAGTTTATGTATCTGTTTGCCCAACAGAATGGAATAAAGAATTGTTCTTCAGTCCCTTATCTACTGTCTATCTGCCATGTACTTTATATGATATTAGCTGAAAATCCTTTATATAATGGTAAATGTTTATTTATTTTGCTTCGGAAAATTTGCTCTAAATAATTTTTTGTCAACGTTTTTTCTACGTATTTGGCTTGATTATAACAGTTCGCCAGTGGGACAGCTGTAAGTTTACTGACTTACAACGCTAAAATCCGGGATTCGACTCACTGCGATGGACACAGCAGATGTTAAATTTACACTGTCGGTAAGCTACAGCTGACCAATGTTGTGATAGAACAAGGGGCCCAAGGTGAAGCTGCCAACTGGACAAAGAAACCTAGTCTACTTGTTCAATTCAGGCAAACTTTCTTAGTTCAATTTTCTACTTAAAGATCGACAAGTGTAGTTCTATCTGGAGATAACGTGTTTACTTCAAATAAAATCAACCTTGAGAGAAAGAAAGCTGTGGATCTAATCACAATTAAGCCAGTAGAAGTGACTATCTTTTTGTGTAAGCAAGTATGTACTCTACATTTTCTTTTTGTTTATTCTATATAAAAAAAAAAGATTGTGTTCATTTTGTTAAACTTGTCCAGTATCATTATTTCACACACACACTAAGAAAACTGAGTCAAGTTAACAAACATAGATTAATTTCCCTATTTCCTGGACGAATCTGCTATTGTTAGTGGGTCTAACTATCTGATGCACGTCGAGAAATCAGTTTCCACCAGATAATACTGCAAGGGTTCATCAGAATAATAAAAATATCAAACCTTATCAAATTATCCAAACTTTATTCAAGAGATACAGATACATCATGAAATTCACATCGTTAAGGAAAATGTGGTAACTTTCAGCAAACATTAAATGTAAATTTGCTTTATTATTTAATATACTGCTAATCTCGATTTAAATTTGATTTGTCAAAGAACATTCTTAGCACTTCGGCCTATATATATGGCACAGCCTTCATGAATATTTCTATCATTATACATATTCGTTTGCCTCATGTTCTCTCCGGCCAGAAATCATGTACAATAACGAAGAAATACCACAGAATCGACCTTATGATGCCAAATGAAAGCTTGTCGAAACTTTGTACGTTTGTTTGTTATTTGTAATAAAGTATCTTTCATTATCCATTCAAGCATCATTTTCTAAAAGTGAGGTCCGCGTTGTAAAAAAAAAAAAGAAAAAGAAAAAAAAGCCATACATTTTGGCTTAAATTGCGACCAATATAAATGCACCAATGTAATCACACTTTGAGTAGATTTGCGCTAAACTCAAGAAAACATACTGTAACCTCTAGATGCCATCTACTCATCCAACTAAAGACATTGTGCAAAACAGGTCAGCGACAGCAATATGTGAGGTTGCAACAACATCCTTTCTGGCAGAGCAGGTATTATTTACTAGAAAACAAAATAACAAGAACGAAAACCCAAAGGTTTACTGGACAACGTATTTATGGTAGGTGGAATCGAGCCCCTGATTTTAGCACTGTGAATCCTTAGACTTCCCGTTATCCAACCGGGAGACTCACGTGTTTTCATTTGATTAATTATTAAATTTCTTTTGACATATATGAATTTCATGCAATCGGAACACACAAAATCCTTATTGAACTCTTTGTTTTAGAGTAATTCTGGCCAATCTCTCGACCAGCTCTATTCGTCAGCAGGATTAGTTGGGTTAGGAATCCAAGTTACTTTGATATTAGTCAAGGATGTTCTTTTTACTAACGTGGACGTTAGTGACTTGGGTATTGCAACATTTCGAATTGAATAGTCATTTACGAGGTTTAGCAACTTGCAACTAAGCACTTTTATATAATCTGTGCCGCAACTCTAGAACAACTCGATGTTAATCAACAACTGGACTTTGTAGAAGCAATAAAAAATATATAAAAATCTTAATCATTATATCATCTCTATTTACCTTTAAAAAAACAAAAAAAACAAGTTCCCCTGTTTGACTTTAAATTTTTATCCGCATATTGAAATTCTTTCTATGCTGTAGTATAATTTAAAGAAAACAAGAAAGCGATTACATCTTGAATTAAAAACATTTGTACTGGAAAGTTATAATGAAAAATATTCGCTTTGAATTTTGCAACATAACTAATCAAATTACAAGTTTAAGAGGTCGCGTTGTGTCAAGGACGTCCTAAGAGCAAAACGTTTCTGGAATGGATTTTGTCGTTGAAAAGTGAAACTTAATTGTAATATTTAATAATAGTGTGTACAAATGTGATTAATTTGACCAAAACAACTTGTAAATAAAAGTAAACGATATTATGTTTGGAACAATATTTTGATAAATTACTAATTTAATCCAGAAACAGGTAGTATCATTACTGTATTACTGTTAGCCCCATGCCATAAGTTGATGTAACTAGCTCACACACTTGTATTTGTATTTTTCGTAAGAACTTCAAGTTCAACGTAGTACTAAGATCAGTACCAGTAGAATTGAGTGCATCATTGTTGTCACCATGAGAAACAGAAGTAACTCGGGTGCTAGGCTCGATTATTATCAACGAATAGTTTATAGAACAATTCTTGATCTTCAGGTTGGTAGAATTAGCATTTAATTTTAAGAAATTAGATTGTATTCAGAGTAAAAATAATTCAGTATGAACGTAAGGGGCATAATACACTTACATTAAAATAAATAATACTTATTGAAAATAATACACATTACCTGGCTTCAGTATATAATCATTATATAATTAATTTGGGTAATAATTTATCAAATTAGATGGCTTTTAATAAATTTCCAAAAAAAAGCATAAAACAGACTAAGGTATCCATGAATTTTTAATGAGATTTATTAATTCTAAAAAACAACAACAGCAAACAAACCTTACAGTAAGTATCGACACAAACAACATTATTTGACGGTTCTTCTTTTTAAATTACAAATGCCTCTGTGGCTTAGTGGAAAGTCTGAAGGGTTTATACTGCTAAAAATTAGGATTTTATATCAGTGGTTGGCATATTGCAGATAACCATTGTATAGCTTCATGCATAACAACAAATTAGTAGATAAATTATGTAAAAGAAATGACTTGAAGAAGTTTGGGTCCAGGTAACTTTATCAGATGTAAGTTACTATTATTTTCTATAACAGTCAAGAATCCAATAAGCTTTGTACATGTAGCTTTTTAAAGCACTAAACTATTTTGAACATCTAATGAATTCAACTTTAAATTTTTAGACTGATAAAACAAATGCAACAGTTTAGGATCTGCTTTTAATTTTAATAAATTATATTTTTTTGCTGATCTTTGGATGTTTTATTGCTGGAAAGAAGATATCTTACTGGTAGCATTTTTGGGTTAGTGCAACTTTTTTTTCCAAAATTTTATATTTAATTCTCTATTTTAACACTTTGTATGCATCATGTAACCAGAATTCAGTAATTATTTACTAAATCTTCATTGTTCTCGGAAATTCTACCAATACCTCAAGAACTAAAACGTAATTTGGAAAATCATTTGTTGTCAGAACTAAATGTTTTTACAAATAAGCATGTACAAGGTTGAAAAATTTAAAACTAACAAAAATGTTATATTACTACATCATTCTTCAAAGTAGGTGTATATTTGAATTTTTCATTGATATTTTTCTGTGTTGGTGTCAAAAGAAAAGTAACTACCAATTGTTGAAATAATTGAATATGACAATTGTAAGATGTAAATTCTTATAATTTATATATATATATATATATATATGGCCTAGCACTAGGCTACTGATTGAAAGGTCCAAGGTTGAAACTAGAATATGCTGCTGGATATGCCCTTCACCTCCAGCTGTGGGAGTGCTGTAACCATAACAGTCAGTTCTGGTTTGTTGTCTTGTAGGTGATGAGTGCTGTAACCCATAACGGTCAATTCTGGTTTGTTGTCTTGTAGGTGATGAGTGCTGTAACCATAACGGTCAATTCTGGTTTGTTGTCTTGTAGGTGATGAGTGCTGTAACCATAACGGTCAATTCTGGTTTGTTGTCTTGTAGGTGATGAGTGCTGTAACCATAACGGTCAATTCTGGTTGTCTTGTAGGTGATGAGTGCTGTAACCATAACAGTCAGTTCTGGTTTGCTGTCTTGTAGGTGATGAGTGCTGTAACCATAACAGTCAGTTCTGGTTTGTTGTCTTGTAGGTGATGAGTGCTGTAACCATAATGGTCAATTTTGGTTTGTTGTTTTGTAAGTGATGAGTGCTGTAACCATATCTAATACCATCTATATATATATGTCAGGTTGAAAATATATAATACCACATATATATACATACACGAGTTTACCAACTTCTCTTTTCTCCAGAATCCTGTGACGGGACTATTGCCCAGTGGAGCACATACTGACCATGCCTGGGTTCGAGATAATGTGTATTCTATCATGGCAGTCTGGGCCTTGGCCCAGGCTTACAGAAAAAGTGCCGACTTGGATGAGGACAGAGCCAAAACTTATGAGCTGGAACAGGTTAGGAACAGTTCAGTCTGAGAAATAAACAGTTGGAATTGAATGTACATCTATATCTTGAAAAAGTAGTAAAAGAAAACCACCATTTTACAAAAATGTTCTTGTATTATAAGCAGTTGAAATTAAAAATTACATATTCAATACAACAACCAAGAAAATACTAAGTGTTAAGAATTTTATGTTCACAGTATGTATATTTTCTATTGCAGTGCTTCCCAAACTGTGTGCTGCAGAATTTTTGCAGTTATTAAGTAATTTTATTTAGTAATGTAAACTTATTATCAATTTAATAAATTCTTAAAATTTGATTTATTTTCTCCTTGATGCACAGTATAACAGTAATTTCTCCCTGTCCTAGTCAGGGAGGTGCCACTGGGCCTACCGTACGGACTTATTTACGTACGCAGCAAAAAGTTTGGGACATTAAAAGTGTGCCACAAATTGAAAAAGTTTGGGAAGCACTATTCTATGGCATATCCATATCTGTGGTTTTACTCATTTAACCGCTAATTCTTCATTTTTTATAGAATTAACTGTGATAAAAGTGATTCTAAACTCAAGTTGTTTTGCTGTATATGAGTAGTTATGTGTTCTGATATCCTCAGTACAAAATTTTTATCTTGTTAGAATATATAATAACAGCTTTAACAGTCAGACAAATGGCCAAATAGATTTGCTTTCAACTCTTTCTTTCACCTATTTCGTTAGCACTTTGTGAGATTGAGCGGCAGATACTTTAAACTTTCATGAAATTATAGTACTGATAATAACAGATTTATTACAATGCAGATGTGTAAATGGAATATGATGTGAAACTCGCAATAAATATTCCAGAGCAAATTAATAACTCGTGTGTGAGTGTAATATTTCTATACAGTGGTGAATGCTAAAATAAGTTTTTTGTAATTAAGGGTGTAATAAATGTTAAAACAAGTAATATGAAGACATTTAGAAATGTCGTGTGTATTTGCACCGAGTAATCCATGGTAAAAGATACAGGAATAATTTTGAGACTTTGAAAATTTGAAATGGAAAAATGGTAAAATTTAGGAAGGCTATGGAAAAAAGAAAAAAGAAACTATATTAACTAATGGGTTTTCTTGTTGAAGCCATACTATGGTGATGGTGTCGACTAGACAGGTATGGTTAAAAATTAGAGAAAAATTTTAGAAGCCTTGACTGAGAGCATGGGAAAAAAACTGATTTTTTAAAAGAATATTTACCACTGAATTGAGATGTCAGATAATTAAAATATGTTGGTGTTACTGTCAGAGTTGTGTAAAACTGATGAGAGGGTTACTGATGGCCATGATGAAGCAAAAAGAGAAACTGGAACGTTTTAAGGAAACTCAGTCAACGACTGATTGTTTTCATGCGAAATATAGTTCTTCCACTGGAGCTACAGTAGTAGGAGACAACGAATGGGGACACCTCCAGCTTGATGCAACTTCCTTATACCTCTTAATACTTGCTCAGATGACTGCATCAGGTAGGATTATATGTTTTCTTATTCATGTTATAAATCTAATTTCTCTGTAAAATATGAGAACTTTAATTTCATATTCACAACATTAAAAAAGTGAACTTTGACATAAAAATGATGTATGTGCTAGTGCCCAAAACAAAAATTGAAATACAGTGGCCAATTAAGTTTTATAAACAGGCAACACACAAAATTTTCTGAGATTCCTTTTAGGTAAATCATTCCTAAACTGTATTTTTCATTTAAATAGATATTTAAAAAAAAAAGATTCATTATCCCTGATAACTATATATTGCAAAATAAACTGAAAAAATCAAACTGAAAATAAAATGTATAGAGAAACGTCATCTGCATACTAGTCTGTGTTACAAATATCTCCAAATTTTCTTCTACATAAAATGTTCTTCAGACACAGCCACAATATCTTGCAAAGTATCCTGTCATCTTTGTGAATTAAAATCAGCTTGTCTCTTCATGATTTGATCTGGAAAATGTCATAAGTGTTTTACTATCATGACAGAATTTTAGCAGGGTTTTGATTAGTTATGCTGTTACAGACTTGGCATGGCCAAGTGGTTAGGGAGCTTTCATCGCAATTTGCGGGTCGCTATTTCGATTCCCCTTCCCACCGAAACATTTTGCCATTTCAGCTGTTGGGGCATTATAATATGCTGATCAATCCCACTATTCATTGGTAAAAGAGTTGATGGTGGGTGGTGATGACTAGCTGCCTTCACTGATAAATTAGGGATGGCTAGTGCAGATAGCCCTCACGTAACTTTGCACAAAATTCAAAACAAACTAACATACTGTTACAAATATCTCTGTTCATATGTTAATTCAAAGGTTTATTCTGTTTGAATTTCTACACCCAGATACTTTTAACAGTCTCTAATAAGATTTTCATAAGGTTTTTCTTTGCTTTCTTGTTGTTAATTAGTCATCTTTGTGTTTGTTTATTTTTTATGAGGGTTGCTTTTCACGTTGTTACTTTATGTTTTATCTGTTTCTTTTTTTTAATCCTTAGGATTACAAATAGTTTTCAACACGGATGAAGTAACATTTATCCAGAATCTCATCTTTTATATTGAGTCTGCTTATTGTATTCCTGTAAGTATTTTTAGTGGGAAAAATGTTATAAGTATTGTTTATTTTAGAGGATGAGTTTAATCAGTGTAACCGTTGAAAACAACAAAACAGTATCTGTAACATGTAGATAAAACTCATCCTCTCCATGGTTACACTGATTTTATCTACATGTTACAGATACTGTTTTGTTGTTTT